ATTGAAAGAGGGCTTTATGTTTTTATGTTTTGTTCATATGTTTGTTGTAAAAAATAAAAACTTTGAAAAAGAAAAGAAAATGTAAAATGATACAGAACTGAAATGGTCAATATTGTTTTCAGAAGTACATGAGGGTGATAAGATCTCTATAACCTGCTTTTAACCTGGCACATGGCTCTGATTTAATGGAGTGGAAAGTTTAGCTCTTTGGCAAGCAATATCCTGTTGAAAATTGCTGTCTTAAGAAGGCAGCATGAATAGGATCAAAGGTGAGAGAGAAAGAAATGGAAAATACCAATCTTTCTTTTGGAAGCTAATTGTGTTAATGAAGATCCACTGTGATGATGTTTGAATTCAAGGAAGTTGGGAATCAGTTCCTGGCAGGAGAGATGCAAAACTTCTTAGAATTTTGTACCTCGGGAAATGTCAGTCATTTTTTAAAAAACGAATACAACAGGTCATGGGGATTCTTTGCATAAAATAATTTTTATTCCATTCCCTTTGTCAAAATTATTCTTAAATAAAATAACTGATGTAGGATTTGATGCAATTTTTCTTTAAAAATGATTGTGGTTCCCCAAACATCAAACTCAATAAAAAATTCCAGACAAACAAAAATAGTAAAACATACTAGACTTTTATGGTTGACAAACAACTGTAGCTATATGTAAGCTTTTTTGGCATGAGTCTGGCTATAATTATGTTTCTAAACATTTAACCCAGTAGTATATCTAACTCAAGCCTATTCATTAAAAAATTGATGGTGACAGAATGTGCAATATAAACATTAAATGATTTGCTAGCTAAATACTCTGTGCCTAGAATCCCATTTAGTGTAAAATACAGTTTTATATATATATATATGTCTCTCTCTGAAAGTACCTATATTTCAGTTCTGAGTTGGAACCTACAGTATTCAAAGTCTATTTTTAGTATATATTTCTAGAGCTGTATGAAGCCTAGATTATTTTTAATGAGGAAGATATTTAAAACATTGAAACCAATAGAATATTCTTGCAGCATAAACCTACCCAAAGTTAATTGCAAGTATTTGAAACACAAGTTGCTGAGCCTACCACTGAGCAACACAAAAACTCAGGATACATTTCCTGGCGTATAACATTCCATCTGGATAAATAATCTCTGAGAATTGTTCTGAGAATCTCTGAGAATTGTTTTTTTTGGGGGGGGGGGGGAGTGGGGATGAATGGGAAGAATGTTGGAACTTCTAATATGACATTGAGCTGTTACAACTTATGGTTTATTGGTCATACTAGTTCAATAGGAAGTAAAACTGTCATAGAAAAACCCACAATGAATAATATTTTCATGTCCCCTTCCTGCTAATACATGAATGCACATGGAGGTGTAGCCTCATATAACTTTTACTCATCTTAAAACTTCTCATTTTGACCAATGCCCCAGTCCTCACTTCAGAAGTTATAGGAACTACATCAACTTGATTCTAAACATTCTCATTCCTCATGCATTATTTATACCATAGGAACCATAGGACATGATTACAGGCAAGAAAGCCAGATCCATTCTCTCTTTTCTCTGTACGTCACAATCCCAGAAAGGGGAGCATCTGACAGTTCATGACAGGAGAATTTTAATTTAAAAAAGTTTTTTTAAATCTTACCTCAGAATTAGATTGGAGAACACATAGATGCACCATGTGTCAGTGGCATTGAAAAGATTCCGAAATGGACTCACATTTATAGAAGTAGCTGCAATACTCAGTGTTACAACAGAGAAATTGGAATAAACAAAGCAGAGGTTTGGAAAGAATGTGATCGTTCATGCTTCCAGGCGTTAAGTCAGTCAAAATTGGAAGGAAGGAGGTGGGGGGGGGGAAGAGATTGTTTCTGAGGAGACATTTACTGCGTGCTTCAGGATCTTTTCCTCTTGTACAGCTAGTGTAGGCAACCGTCACTGCACTGGAAGTGAACATCCCATAATCATGACAGTATGGCATTCCCTGTAACCCTTCTTTAATCTGATAAACATGGCAGAGAGAAGAGAGGGAATTCTTTATATGCATTTCTTTGGGTTTTAAGTTATAAACAACAGGAATTCAGGATCATGTGAGAAGAGAGATGGTGAAAGAAACAGAATGCAGGAAGTCAGGGGAACACAAGAGGCCAGGATCGGATGGGATCCATTCCAGGACATGAAAGGAAGTGACTAAACTGATACATGAATGTTACCTAATAAAGAAACACAAATGGAGAGAGGAAGACACCAAGGACTGGTGAGATGCTATTCTAATACTTAAATGTTTATAGGTCAAAATCCAGAAATGCATAGGCTTAAAACACTGGCAATAGAAAAGAGGCTGCTTTGAAATATCATGAGAAAAAAAAAGCCTCTGGACCAGTGGATGAGAAAGACTGACAGAGAATAAGGCAGTTATCTTTGTAAGTCTTGCAAGGACAGGCTGGTGGTGCTTGGGAGGGTTTTTTTTTTTTAATTTTTTAAGAGAGCCTGGAGCTATAGCACTCAAAGTGCTATCCAGGGAAACTGCTTTGTCTTGTTTTCACAAATCTTCAGCCAACTTGTCACATACCTCCAAAGATTAACTTGGACTGATTTATAGCCCTCAAAGGTCCCAGACTCAGCAAATCTCCTTTGAAGCTTAGCCTGACAACATCTGGAATCAGAGTTCAAGAAATGAGGGCACCTTTTTTCTTCCTGACAGACACCACTTCCTAAGGCAATGTAAGATTTACAAAATTAGGCATGCTTAATAATGACATTGAAAAGAGATGGGCTTCTTTTTTTAAGTTTTTGTATGTTTATTTTTAAACTTGTTTTATGATATTGTTGTGCTAACAAGCCGTGGAGAAATTCAAATACAAGAGTTTCTATTAACACCTCAATTGTCATGTACCAAGGACATATTACTTTCATTCATCTAGTTCTAGATTATCTACAGACTGGCAGAAGGTCTCTAGGTATTGCACTCCAATCTGCTCCAGGCCTATTTTGAAAAGCCAGGAATCTGAACCCATCATATTTTGCATACAAAGCAGGAATATCTTTGTGCAGTAAGGGGGAAATTATCAGTTTTTCCATAATAATTATCAACCCTCCTTTACCAAAAATAATGCAGTTTTCATAATTATTACCTCCTCTTGAAATATATTAATTGAATTCTTCATCAATTTACACAAGGAAAATTCCATAGCTGTAGTTATTCCTAGCATAGACACTATTGTGTAGCGTTGAGCAAATTACATAAATGTTCAGAGCAAAATGTTCTAAATTCTCTACAGGTTCATATTGCACCACTTTCCAGGTTTTGGCCTTCCACTGATGAAGACATTTATGAATTATAGTCATATAAGAAACAACAGTCCCTACACCCCTCCAAATAATTATTTCTGATCCATACAATGCTTTATTAATAAAGAATCACTTGTGGTCAGCTGAATTTAAAGGAGAACAAGACATGGGAAGAAGAGAGAATAGTTTATCCTTGAAAATTTCCTGGGATATTTTTCCCTGTCCAAAATCTGGCAAAGACATTGAATCCTCTTGATTTTTTGTGCCATACACTAGTTTTTGTTTGTAATGATTTTCACGTCATTCCCTCAGATGCATTTCCTTTTTATCTCTGCAATATTAATTTCTCTAAAAAGTATTAATAATGAGTTGTCTCTCCCTTTCTTTATTGTTCTTGCCTGCAGCACTAACGCTTTGAATTTCCTTTTCCTGTTTATTATCTGGATGTCTTGCACAGTGTGCATGTTTGGGTGTGCATATTGACTTTGCTGTCATGCTTATAGAGAACCTCAATTCCATTGGTTCTTTTGAGGTTTGGGAGTTGTATGTAAGCTGTTCAAGGAAGTAAAAACAAGTGTTAATTTATTTTCAGCCTGCTAGCAGTTATTCAGTTATGGGTGCAAACATAAATATTTTACTGACAAAACAGGAAAGTTGCACTAATGAATAATTACACTGTTATTCTGGGCTGGCAGAAATATCTACTACAAATTCATATTTGGTTTCCAAAAAGGTTCTTTTAAGTAGTTACACCAGGGACAAGTATGTTTTCCCCACCCACTTTGTGCTTTATAAAAATGAACTACTTATTAAAGCTCTCTCCTGAAGCAAAACAATGGAACAAAATAATACTTTCAGCAACAACTGCCAGAGTACAAAGGATGTGAGTTTAGAGGATGGTGGTTTTTTTTAAAAAAAAGTTCAGGAAGTTTTGTTGTTGGAAACTCCTCTTAACTTGCTCTTGCTTTGTACTATGTAACCACTGTCTGGTTCTGGATATTGTGTCCTTTTTTGGTCCCATTTAATGCCTTCTGTATTTGCCAAGGGATGGGCCCTAGTGCTATTCAGAAAGCTGAATTTGTGAATGACCTCCTGTTTTCCACTGAGTCTTTGAAATTGGAGAGGCTCATGATAGAAGCAGCCTTGAAGAATTTTCAGGTGCAAAGATTTTTTTTTATGTGCTTACAAAACTGCTTAGCTTTTCTTTTCCTTTTGACCCCACTATGTGCAAAGTACGATTTGTGAAAATCATGATCAAAATGCTTATTTAAAATTTTCAGGGGGAGAAAAATACAAGACATATTAGGGGAAAATGAGGTTGGAAAATGAAAAGTAAATCAATGCAGTAATGAGAAATAGATCTCCTGAGTGTTTGGATCAAGTTTGGCTCATTAATTAATTACTTTTTTGTCTTGCCTAATAAATATGAGAAAATTCTGAATAGTAAATGGGATTGATTTGTTAAAGCAAAAATGTATCACTTATATTGACAGAGATGTAGGTAACAATGCCACTACTTTCTGTTCACCTCACTGCATGTTGCCAGTGACAAATGTCATTTATAATATTTTTATTATATAATCATTTTTACCTATGTGAATGATATGCAATTTCAATGTTTTGTTTTGGTATCTATTAAACAGAATATCTCGGGGTGCTTTTTAGACAGTAACTATTATCCTTTCTCTCTCTCTCTTTCTCTCTCTCTTTAGGTCTGAAGAAAAGGTAATGGCAACAACGCAGATCAGTATGTCACAAGCCTCACTAGTCAATGGCAGCATCAGTGCTAAAATGAAGAGAAACAAACCTCGTGTGATGTCTAAAAGTGGTCACAGCAATATCAGAATTGACAAGGTAGATGGTATTTACCTGCTTTATCTTCAGGACCTGTGGACCACAGTTATTGACATGAAATGGAGATATAAACTTACATTATTTGCTGCTACTTTCATCATGACTTGGTTTCTGTTTGGAGTCATTTACTATGCCATTGCATTTCTTCATGGAGATCTGGAAGAGAGCAGATACCCTAACAAACATGTCCCCTGTGTCATGAATGTAGATTCATTAACTGGGGCATTTCTCTTTTCTTTGGAATCCCAAACAACCATTGGTTATGGCTTTCGGGTTATCACTGAGGAATGTCCTCATGCCATTTGTCTCTTGGTGGCTCAGTTAGTTCTCACTACGTTGATTGAGATTTTCATTACTGGAACTTTCCTGGCCAAAATTGCTAGACCTAAAAAAAGGGCTGAGACCATTAAGTTCAGTCATTATGCTGTCATAACCAAACACAATGGACAGCTTTGCCTTGTAATCCGTGTAGCAAATATGAGAAAGAGCCTCTTGATTCAGTGCCAGTTAACTGGAAAGCTTCTTCAGACCTATGAAACCAAAGAAGGAGAAAGGATTCTGCTAAACCAAGCTAGTGTCAAATTCCACGTGGATTCATCATCAGAAAGCCCTTTCTTGATTCTACCTCTGACTTTTTACCACATTTTGGATGAGAGCAGCCCCTTAAATGACCTGACATCCCAAAATCTAAAGGAAAAGGATTTTGAACTCATTATCCTTTTGAACGCCACAGTAGAATCCACGAGTGCTGTATGCCAGAGCCGAACTTCATATATTCCAGAGGAGATCTTCTGGGGATTTGAATTCCTGCCTGTGATTTCTCTTTCACAGAATGGAAAATATGTTGCAGATTTTAGTCAATTTGAGCTGATCAGAAGAAGCATCGACTGTACATTGTACAGTATGGACCCTGAAAAGCAAAAATTGGAAGAGCAATATAGAAAGGAAGACCAGAGGGAGAGAGAACGCAGAACCATGTTGTTACAACAAAGTAATGTTTGATGGCTCACCTATAACAAATAATATTGTATATAACACTTTTAACTGAAAGTCGTTTACTCAAACACTATGATTTTATCAGAATGCATCATTAATTCTTTTTCAGTTTTTGTGTAACATATGCCACAATAATGGAAAATGGAGGTGTATTTTGGGTGTATGGAAACCTGCCTTAAATATGAACAAAACTGTTATTGGGGCTAGCAGTGGCACACCAGAGTTCCAGATAAGGAATTTCACTAGTGCTATCTAGAACTGGATCCATGTCACCTACTGACATCTTTCTCCAGTGCTGAAATGAAATAGAATGGTTAGCCCATTGACATTGTCCTGCCAATGACTTTGTGATCTTGGTGATGAGCTACGCTATTTTGTCCACTATAACACAGGGTAGAAAGTCAGTAGAGTTAGTGGCTCTACTTCTTAACCCCCCCCCCCCACTCCATTCTTGCCGTTAGAGACAGGATATGTTTAGCATGTCGATCTCCAGAGCTATACTATCTTTTTGTTGGCTAGTGTTTGATATATGATTTTTAATAGTTGTGCCTGAAGTTTGATATTTTGAACATATTTTCCAGATATAAAAATCTACACTGGTGTTTGTTTTAGATATAAATAGCAATTTTTTAAAGTTTATTGACAGAAAGCATTATGAATACTGGTACTTTGTACGGTGACACCACGATATGATGAAGATAGTTTGTGTGATTCTGCCAGACTTCTTTTGTGTGGATCTTAATTGCCATTTTTCTAAACTGACATTTTTCTCCTTGTCCAGTTTAAATTTGTACATTATTGATAATGCATAAGATCAAAATCAGAATGGAAAAAGAGGAAGATCAAGCTTTGCTCTGAGTTCTCTCATCAGCACATTACTGATTAAAAACTATATAGGAATTTCTCACATTTTTATTTGTGTTCCACCCTTATTATTTTTATAAGTAGATCAAGGTGCAACCCTATCCAATACACTTTCCTTCTTCTATTATCCCCAGAACAACAACCCTGTAAGGTGGGTTGGGCTGAGAGAGAGACTGGCCCAAGGTCACTCAGATGGCTTTCATAACTAAGGGAGGACTTGAATTCACAGTCTCCCGCTTTCTAGCCTGGTGCCTTAACCACTAGACTTGATTCTTACGTAAATAATGGTTTAAGGAAAGTATATGCACACATCCTTCTTGTGGTCATTTTAGATGAGCAAGAAAGAACGAAGTAAATAGCTCCATAACCTTTTTCTTGAATGCAAACTCCTTTTTGCCCAGACAGTCTTCAATTTACTCACCAGTGCAAATGATTGGCTCACAATGCTGTTCTCTCTCTCTCCCTCCCCCCACTCTCTCCCTCCCCTCCCATAATTTGACAGATTTAAAAACAGGTAAGGATGGTGTTGAAGACAACAATCATATAGGGGAAATGCTAATAACAATATTTTGCTTTTATGAAGTAATCTATTTTAAAAAGTTGTTTAGCTTTGCTTTAGAAAACTGTTTAATGCTCTTAAATAAAGGATTCTGAAATAGTTAGTGACAATATTTGTTTGCACATGTTGTCTGTGAATGCCTGCTGTGCTATTAATAAGACATGTATAAATGGTACTGTCAGCAATTAGTTTTTGCAGACAACTGTGTCACATGTTTCTAGTTACTGTCTGGTTACATTTTCAAAGGGTCAGAAAAATTATTTCCCCAGTTGTGCATTGTCCTGCTCCTGGTAACACCACATTTTGACAAATCATCCCAATCTCATTATTCCTAGATCTATCTGCCTTCTGACATTCAGATCTGCCCTTGGGCTTATTTCATAACTAGTTTTTCTTTTGAGACTGTTTATTAAAGGGGAATTCTATAGTATAGTAACTGGTGTACATAAACAGGCATCTTTGATGTACAGTACCTATCTGATCTGGTGTGACAATATTTTATCTAGAGGAGTCTATAGTCTAGTTTAGACATGGTTCCAGATAGTTGTTACTGTTTATACAGACTCAGTATTAAGCACAGCCTAAACCATTAATACAATGTAAATTTGAGACATGAAGTTCTTAGTTTCAGATAATTCTGTATAATTCGGGCAGTAACTGCTAATGCGAAACTACACAAATAACCTCTAGAGCAGGGGTGTCAAACTCGTGGCCCACAGGCCAGATGCGTCACTCACTGGCCACAACTACATCTGGTTTAGTGAAGGGGGGGAAGTCGCAATATGTCAAATGATGACTCTGTGATGATGTGAGTTTGACAGCGCTGCTCTAGAGGTTGTGTTGAATTTAGATGAACTTAGGCAAAGAATTCAGAGACAAAACTCTTCCTACACTGATTCATTTTGGAACATTAAAACACAGAAACTTTGAGCTCTCCTTGCCACAAAGTTTGGCTCAACCACTTTAAAAATCTGCTCCAGAGGTTAGCAGTCCTCCTGGGATCACATGGAACGTGGTCCTCATAAAACATGATGACAATTGCTTTTTGTCTTCTCCTTTCTATGCGACGTAAGCTCTGCTAGATCAGCAGCATTTTCCACATGATAGGAATCCTGGAAATATCTTCCCTAGAACCAATCTTTTCTTTTTAAGAGGTATTTGAATTGGTCATAGTCATTACTTTCTGAGTCATTTCTCTCAATGGATATCAAGTCTGCATGCTTATTAAATTTACTTAAGAGGGAAAATAAAACCCACACTGAAATGACCAAGATAATATCCTTTAGGATGCCTTCTGCAAACTTCCATTTAAAATAACTGCAGAGATGAATTCCATTAAGGCAATATAAAAGAGAAAGCGTGAACACTAATTATTATTCATGAATTATTCTTCATTTCTCATTTAACTCATCCCATGCTTGAGTAATTGTTCTTTCATTGAAGGAAAAGTTGCATTGTATTCAATAAAAGATTAAATAAATAAGTGGATAAAATAGGATGCCTAAAAAGAGACTATCAAGGGCAAGTTAAAGGATTAAATTTATTGTCATGAGTTCTCATTGTGAGGTGAGTCAATATTTATAGATTATCTGAAAAGATTTGAGTTGGTGTTCTAAGAGTTACTTCAGGTAAACATTCCCCAAATGCTATTCTTCCCCCAAATAAATGTGATGTTCGTCAGAATCTAGCCTTGCTACAACAACAAGCACCAACAACCCAACTAGATACAGGAAGGCAGGCTTTGTGTTGGGACTGTACCTTTCAAAATTGCCAGCAAGTTTGAAGAAGATGCATAAGGTTTCTTCTTCTTATGAAATGTTTAGCTTGCAGTGTATAGAATGACATATTATGAGTAGCTGCATCTCATTATTTCTTCATGTGCTATTTTAAATACTTTATCTCTTAAACTGGTTTCCAAAGCAGTTTATGGTACAATAGTCCCTGGACATAACCACAAGAGAACCATGTGATATAGTGGTGTAAATGCTGGATTGGCACTAAGGAGACTTCAAGTTCACCCTCCGTCACAGAAGATAACTGAATGCCCCTAGACCAGGGGTCTGCAACCTTAAACACTGAAAGAGCCATTTGCACCCGTTTCCCACAGAAAAGAAAACACCAGGAACCAATAATTTAACAACCAGTGTGACTGGGTGGGTGTGGCCAATTCGACGTCACTCACTCCCATCCAGTCATCTTCTGCTCTGGAATATGGAGTGAGTCTCCATCCCCCACCATCTCCCTTACCTTCTCAGGCCAGGCAAGGAGTGATGGGGAGGGGAGGGGCCAGCCAGTGGTGGGATCAGCTGACAAGGAGCCGCAGCAGAGCTGCATGTGGCTCAGAGCCTCAGGTTGCAGACCCCTGCTCTGTGCCCATCACTACCTCTCAGCCTAGCCATGAAGAAGGTGAAGGGAGAATGAGAAACAAGCATAGATGCTACTTTCTAAAATTATTGTTGTCACTACCGGGTAGAAGGGAACAGCTGAGGTAGTCAGCTATAAAGAGATAGTTAATAAAGAAATGCCAAAAAAAAAAAAAACCATGCAAAACCAGTGGACAATCTACAAAGAAATATAAAGCTATGAATTACTTTTCTTTTCTTTCTGAAGCCTGCTGGCATCTCATGGATCATAAAATGCAAAGTTAAGAGTAAAGGATGGGGCCTTGGAGATTTAAATAAGAATCGCCACTCATAATAAAGCTCATTGGAGTGAATTGTGCTAATCAATCATTCATCCAAATCTACTCCACAAGGAGTATGCAACAGAAGAAGGAGAATCTTCAAAAGAAATCTGAAATAAAATAAAATAAATTTTCAAAATGGTCACTAAGCAATCGGCAAATAAAAAATATTTCTTTCTGGAACTAACAGAATCAGATAATGTCATTATTATTGTTAGGATTCCTTATAACATTAAAGAGGCAAGTGGGAAGGAAAGGGGGAAGAGATGAATAATATAGGTAGCCCCTGACTTTATTTATTTTATTTATTTATTTGATTTGCCAATTGTTTCCAAGATAATAAGTATAAGTGTATACATAGTTGTGAATACATGAAATGGGTACATATAAGAAAAATGAAAGAATAAGAGAAACAATAGGACAGGGACGGTAGGCACGTTGGTGCGCTTATGCACGCCCCCTACAGACCTCTTAGGAAAGGGGTGAGGTCAATAGTAGACAGTCTAAGGTTAAAGTTTTTGGGGTTTGGGGAAGAAACTACAGAGTCGGGTAGAGTATTCCAGACATTGACCACTCTATTGCTGAAGTCGTATTTCCTGCAATCAAGTTTGGTGCGGTTTACTTTGAGTTTGTATCTATTGTGTGCTCTTGTGTTGTTATGGTTGAAGCTGAAGTATTCATTGACAGGTAGGACATTGCAATGTATGATTTTATATACCATGCTTAAGTCAGACCGAAGACGGCGTAATTCAAGGTTTTCTAGTTTTAGAATTTCAAGTCTGGTGGCATAAGGTATTCTACAACGAGTAGAAGAGTGGAGAACTCTTCTTGTGAAATATTTCTGGACTTTCTCAATTGTGCTAATATCAGATACGTAATGAGGGTTCCAGATTGATGAACTGTATTCGAGTATTGGTCTAGCAAATGTTTTGTATGCTCTGGTTAGTAGTGTGATATTACCAGAGAAAAAGCTACGTAGGATTAGGTTAACAACTCTTAATGCCTTTTTGGCTATGTAGTTGCAGTGGGCTCTAGCACTTAGATCATTAGAGGTGAGTATTCCAAGGTCCTTTACAGAGCTTGGGTCATCAACAAGATCTTGACTATTCAGCTTGTATTTTATTTTCTGATTTTTTTTGCCAATATGTAAGACAGAGCATTTATTTGTTGAGATTTGAAGTTGCCATTTGTTTGACCATTCAGATACATAGTCAAGATCTTTTTGTAGGGTAGCAGTATTGTCTGTGGTATTGAACAGCTTTACATCATCAGCGAAGAGAACGCAATTGCTCTTAATATGATCACAGAGGTCGTTTATGTAGAGTATGAAGAGAGTTGGTCCTAGAACACTGCCTTGGGGGATACCACTATTGACAGGTACTGGATTTGATAGGACGCTCCCGATTTTGACCATTTGTTGTCTGTTTGACAGGAATGCTTCTATCCAGTTATTCAGTTGTCCAGAGATACCATAGGATTTTATTTTTAGGAGTAGTTTGTCGTGTACCACTGAATCAAAGGCTTTACAGAAGTCTATGTAGATTGCGTCTATTGCTTTGCCCTGGTCGAGTTGTGTCGACCATATGTTTTTGCAGTGTAAGAGTTGCAGATTACAGGATAGTTTTTTTCTGAAACCAAATTGTTTATTGGAGAGTAGGTTGTTTGTCTCTAAGTGGAGGATAATGGATTGGTTAATAATTGATTCCATGACTTTACAGGTGACGCAGCATAAGGAGATTGGCCTGTAATTTTCAACTAGGCTTGGGTCTCCCTTTTTGAAGATGGGGATGACTGTGGCTTGTGACCATAGGTTAGGCAAGGAGTTGGTCCTGAAAGATGGTCCTGAAAGACTTATGACTTCAATTGAGATCAAAATTTCTGTTGCTAAGCAAGACATTTGTTATGTGAGTTTTGGCCCATTTTACGACCTTTCTTGCCACAGTTGTTAAGTGAATCATTGCAGTTGTTAAGTTAGTAACACAGTTGTTAAGTGGGTCTGGCTTCCCCATTGACTTTGCTTGGCAGAAGGTTGCAAAAGGAAACGACATGACCCCGGGAGACTGTAATCATCATAAATATGAGTCAGTTACCAAGAATCTGAATTTTTAATCATGTGACCATGGGGAATCTACAGCGCGTGAAAAATGGTCATAGGTCGGTTTTTTTCAATGCTATTGTAACTTGAAATGGTCACTAAATGAACTGTTGTAAATTGAGGACTACCTGTATAATGAATGTCCCCAAAGATAAATCTTTGCATCCCTTCTTCCTATCTACAAGTTGAATTTGGAAAGAAAGATGGAAATGGCTAAAAGAAAGTATAACTTTAATAAGAGTCCCACTGAATACATAGGGTTCAGAAATCTAACTTTAATGTCTAGGCTGAATCAGGTA